CGACAGAGCTAGAAATTCATATAAGAGGATTAAAAAACACCCCAATTTTTTTATTTAGGATTGAACTTGTGAGCCAAGATAACTTGGGGTGTTTTTCAATCCTCTTATATGAATTTCTATCTCCGTCGCTAAGAAACTATAACTTAAATATATATTTAATATGCATTACATTAAATAACAATCATAAAGATAAGGTAATTTTAATTGACTCTGATTACTTATTCTACTTATAATTTTAATGAACTCAACTTAAAATTTATAATAGATATTACATAATTTAAGTTATAACTAAAACCATAAAAGATATCATATAATAAAAAAGTATTGAATTGAGGAGGAAATTGAAAATTCAAGGGCAAAAAAAGTATTGTGTAGGATAAAGGGGGGAGAATGATTATTGTTCAAAGTTGAAGGGGGAGTTTGATTTTTAACACAAAATTGGGGAGGGTAAATGATTTTTACCCTATTAAAAAAACATAATCGTTGGGTGCTGTATTTATTTATCCTGTCTCCCTGGGATGACGCAGCCCCATTGCTGGTCCAACTTCCGATGACATTTTCATGCGGTGGTCCCACCTCTCATCAACGGTCACGAATCATCCACAAGAATACCAAGTCAAATATAGATATTAGGCTTTGTTTCGTTCGAGAAATTAAAAATATAATCCTAAATAAAATCTCAGATAAAGTATATTCCTTTTATTTGTGTCACTATTCCTTATCAATCAGTTAACAAATATTTTTAAATTTGAAGTAATTTAACTTAAATTTTTATTTTATTCTTAATGATAGACTCTATAGTTACACCTACGTTATGACATGTTTAGGATTATATTTTTCAAACACATATAACTGCTTTAGTGTATTTAAGATTATAATTTCAAAAATCTTTTTTATATTAAACTTTCCTCCCATTCAAACTACGACGTATAAATTAAAACAGAAATAGCATAATGTGTGGTTGGAAGGATTAAAACATAATTTATGCATAAATAAGAAGTACAGGGCAATGGTGTATCCTAGAAGTCATTGAGTGGGTTGAAGACTATGAGATCTCAAGTTCACATTCGAGCGAGACAAAAATATTACTAGTAAGTAATTTTTGCTATTTATCTAAATTTTAATGGACAAAGTTATCTGATAACTATCAATAATAAATACTTGTAAAATTAATCCGGTCAATTTTAATTAATTTTTTGGCCTTTTTTTGTTTCACAATATTTAATATATTTCATATATCAAGAAGGAGTTAACTTTTTTTATTTCAAAGTTGCCTTTGGAGTAAAAAGCCTAGCAGAATATGTTATATTTTCAACGAACAAATTAAGGTTAATATGGTCAATCTTATTGTCAATTAATGCTAAAAGATGTATTCTTTAATATGTGTGAAAACAACCAAAAAATCAATTAAATTCGATCGGAGGGCAGTGTTTAACTATCTGGTATTCAAAATTTACTTGTCCGATTAATTACATTTATGCAGCACAAATCTCACTAAAAATTGCAATTTATTAAATTTTTTTAACTAACAAAGTTTGAATTCGAGATCTTTAATTAAGGATAACAATATGTCGACAATCGAATTGGTACTTTGTTGTCACGACCCGAAATTTCCACCTTCGGGACCGTGATGGCGCATAACATTTCACTTGCTAGGCAAGCCAACGTTAGAGAATTCTCAAGTCAACTTCAGCCAATTTTAATAACAGAAATAATTAAGCTAAACAGAAGCTAAAACTGAGTTTGCGGAATAGTATAAAACCCATAATATCTGATACATTTAGGATCTAGAGTAACAACTCACGAGCTACTACGATTTACTACAAACAGAGTCTGAAAGAAAGTACACTATTCTGAAAGAGAAAGGAACAGTAAAGTAATAAGTCTAGGAAGAGACTCCGGGGTCTGCGGACGCCAGCAGATCTACCTTGGTCTCCTGACGATCAAGTCCAGCTGCTAACCTCTCGATCAGCTAGGGCCGGTACCAAAATTTGCACAGAAGTGCAGTGTGTAGTATCAGTATAACCGACCCCATGTACTCGTAAGTGTCGAGCCTAACCTCGACGAAGTAGTGACGAAGCTATAAAAAGACACCCACATATGTGCAATTTAACAGTATATGTACGAACAACAACAAGTAGAAGCTAGATAAGTAGTATCGGGAGGGGGACATGCTAAGGGGAATACAAGATAGAGAATCACAACGCTAATGATAACTTGAACAACCAATATACCTTGAACCAATAAGAACAAATAAACACAGTAAAGTAAAGTGCACGGCATCACCCTTCGTGCTTTTACTCTCAATCTCATTATAAAATCAATAGAAACGGCACGACATCACCCTTCATGCATTAACTCTCATAGCATGGCACGACATCACCCTTCGTGCATTAACACCCGTAATATGGTACGACATCACCCTTCGTGCATTAAAACTCTCTCTTACCATAAAGCAATGAACAAATAACAACAGTGATATGAAATAACGAGAACAAGCCTTACTTCAACATTTGATTCCACAATATCAACCTCAACCTCAGAATCAATACTCAATTATCACCAAAAGATCCGTAAACATGATAGGAACGATCAATTTAACAATACTAGTCTAAACATGGATAATATGATCAAGGAAAGCAACAATTACAGGAACAAGTCCCACTTGCATGCTATAGCCCGACAACAACGCATAAGTACTCGTCACCTCACATATACGTTTTACCCAACATCTAAACACGTAGCAAATAGACAAATAAGTCCTAATCCCTCAGGTCAAGGTTAACCACGACACTTACATCGCTCCAAAGATCAAACTCAAAGATCAACCACCGTTTTGCCTTTCAAACAAGCCTCCGAACCAATAGAATCTAGCAATTTACCAACTAAATAATTCAAATTAAGCCTTAGGAACTACCCACGATTGTAAACAATTCAATTTAGGCCATTATTGAAAAAGTGAACAAAAGTCAACACCCGGGCTCGCTTGGTCCAAACCCGAGATTTGGACCAAAACCCGATTATACATTCAACCCCGAGCCCGGTTATATATGTAATTTGTTTTGGAATCCAACCTCAATTCGAGGTCGAAATCCCTATTTTTAAAAAATCCCTAATTCTACCAAAAACCCCAGATTTCCACCATGAAAACTCTTGTTTTTGGTTGAATTCTTAGGAAAAGTAGTGAAAGATTGAAAGAAACTAGTTTAGAATTACTTACAATGATTTGGGGAAGAAATGTTCTTTGAGAAATCGCCTCAAGGGTTCTTGAGTTTGAAAATTTGAAGAATGAACCAAAAATCCCGTCTAAGTCATTTTTTGATTACTTGCAGGTGTCGCATTTGCGACCTGGGATTCGCAAATGCGAGCCCCGCAAATGCGAAGATCATCACAACCCTGCTATCTTATCAAATGCGAAGATGGTTCGCAAATGCGAACTCTGATGCATTCGCAAATGCAACCCAATGATTGCATTTGCAATCATTGCCTACCCAGCACACACTTCGCAAATGCAAAATTTTGTTCGCAAATGCAAACTCTGGCCTCCCCAGCTACTCTTCGCAAATGCGATGAGTAGATCGCAAATGCGAACCCATTAGTGATCGCAAATGCGAAGATTGACCTCGCAATTGCGAGATCTGAGGCCTGCAACAAGAACTGAAGCATACCAGCAATGTTCTAAGTCCAATTTTTCTCCGTGGCATATCCGAAACTCACGTGAGCCCTCGGGCCTCTAAACCAAAAGTGCACACAAGTCTAAAAACATCATATGAACTTGCTCGCGCGATCAAATTGCCAAAATAACACCTAGAACTACAAATTGAACACCAAATCAAATGAAATTTTCAAGAAAACTTTGAAACTTCTATTTTCACAACCGGACGTCCGAATCACGTCAAACCAACTCCATTTCTCACCAAATTTCATTGATAAGTCACAAATATGGTATTGGACCTATACTGGGTTCCGAAACTAAAATACGGACCCGATATCCTAGCTATGGGCCAAACAATTCAAATTCATTAAGCCTTTTACTTTCAAATTTTGACAAGGTCCGCTATCTCGGGCTAGGGACTTCCGAATTCGATTCCAGGCATACGCCCAAGTCCCAAATCACGATACGGACCCACTGGGACCGTCTAAATACGAATTTGGGTCCGTTTGCTCAAAACGTTGACCGAAGTCAACTCAAATGAAATATTTAGGCAAAATTCTTATTTTTATCAGTTTTTAACACAAAAGCTTTTTGGAAACACGCCTGGATTGCGCACGCAAATCGATGAGATATAAAATGAGGATTTTAAAGCTTAAAAGCGCAGAATTAGGTTCTAAAACATGAGATGACCTACCGGGTCATCACATTTGCTAAGATTCTCATGTGAACGAAGGACTCCTAATGGATTTTTTCACTTTTAACCCGCGCCGAAACTATTTACATTCGGTAGCCGAAAAATTATATAAAATTTGTATATAACTTATAACAACAACATCAAACTCAGACCTCACCACTAACTTATGAAAGTAGAGAGGCTGTTTGCGAAAGACCCTACCTCGACTCAAGAACAATAAAAATGAAACAATAGCAATAATAAGGTAATAAGACAATGGAATTAAATAATACAAGAAGTAATAATAGAGATCGAGGGATACAAAACTACAAGAATAGTGCCAATCCTACGGCTAATAATGACAATGTATATAACATATGGAATATATAAATATACAAAAATTTATACTATATTTTTTCGGTTATTTTTTTGAAAGCTGCTGTACAATATTTATGTTAGTCCACGTAGGTCCAAACACAGTGACCCGTCCGGCATCGACAGCTAGCCAACCCCACAAAACCACTACACCTTGAGCACCGTCAAGACTCTCTTTCTATATCGTCAACTTTGATCGATTTTAATCCATTTGTGTGTGTTATGTTTTTTGTCCTTTAACTGATTGGATGAGATACTATACCAAATCAAAACAAATTAGTCAACTAGCTAGTGGTGAGAAAAAGAAGTCATTTTGTACTACTACTGCCCACATGATGCCACAGTACCCCATTATCTCCTTCCCTTTCTTTCTTCCCCTACATCATATTTTCTCTATCTGTCAAAAGTTTCGTTTCTTTAATGGGGTTTTGTGTATGTTCTGTCCACTGCATGTAACATCATACTCAGAGAAAAAAAGTAAAAGATCTTTTTCCCTTACTACTACTACTACTAGCACTAGAGTTTAGGGTATGGTGTATTCCAACACAATTCAGATACACATAAAACCCTAATGGCCGTGAGTAGTGGATTCAAAATTTAAACGTTGTGAGTTTAAGTCCGAACATGAATGTTCTAGGTTTTTTTCTTCTTTGGGATTGTGTTTTGGTTTTAGATCTGACTTTAGCATGGTAATGTTTGTGGTTGGGAGAGAAGCAAATACTAAGAGAAGGGGGGGACAAGGAGAATCAAGACTGACAGAAGAGAGTGAGCACACGCAGGCAATTGTATAGATATTATATTACTGTCATTTGCGTGTGCTCACTTCTCTTGCTGTCATATCTCTCTATATACTTTTCCCCCATTCTTTTTTGCTTTGCTTCCACCACTCAACCAGCCAACACTTGTTCAAACTGCAGGGGCGGATGCAACGTAGGATTGCCGGGTTCAACTGAATCAGTGCTTTTGATGCGAAACATAAATTTATAGGTAAAAGTTCTCAAAACTACAAAAACTAGTAGATAGTTTCAATTTTAAGAATGTTGGAGCTTGAACCCGCAAAGTTCAAATCCTAAATATGCTGCTGGTTCAAAGCTAGCATAAATGTAAGATAATTTATTATTGTTCTTTCTGATCTTTAGCTAACATATATACATCTGTCTAAAGAAAACAGTAGCTATAGATTGATGGACACGACAGTCAACATTGCCACTGACATATATATTTGCTATGTTGTTAACTTGTTAACCACACAAAATTACTGCACCACAATAAAATTGAAACTCAAGTCAGTTGACGTGTTCTTCTCTAGTTCTCTCTTTCTATATATATATATATATATATATATATATATATATATATATATATATACTATTTATTTCTACCAGTTTGTATTTATGTTCTCTTGGTGGGTTTTGGAGATTAGACTGAAAGAAGCTGAAGTTTATCCCAAAAAAAAATAGAAGAATCAGAACAGTTATCAGATCAGGTAAGAATCTTAGACTTTTGAGGTTTAGGGGTTTTATGATAGTAAAATCTCTGTTCTTTTTAATGATTTTTACCAATTAAATATTGTACTAAGCGTGTCTTTTCATGTACTTATTACTCCATATCTCTGATGAAGAGGACGAATGTTAGATTTGGGAGGTACGCTTGTTACTGTTCTGTCTTAACGGATAACTAATTCTTTTTTACGGCTTCAATACATTTATTTGCAAAAATCGAGAAATTTATTGAAAAAATAATTCACTTTTATGATTTTAACAGAAAACTTTCTTCTTTCTACCTTTTCTAGCTCATTGATCTATTTCTTGATTTTGCTCTTGACAATCTTGCTTTATTTTTCCGGCTGTATTTTTCTTTCCTTTCTCTTTTCGTCTTCTTGAGACTAGGGTCTATCGGCAACCGCCTCGGATAGGGGTAGAACGTTAGAGTTAAGGTCTGCGTACACACTAGCCTCCCCAGACCCTACTTATGGAATTTTACTGGATTCGTAGTAATCTGGGACTTAAAAATGAGCACAAAGTTCTCAGATAAAAAGGAGGAATCTTTAAAAATGTTTTTATTCTTAAAGATATTCTATTAAGATGATGAATCTCGGATTTGTTTTTTGAGTATGAGGGATTTGGTTAAATTTATGTGGGTTCTTGTTAATATTTTATGTAGGTTTGTTGACACGCTAATTTCTCTTTAATTTTGGTTATGATATGCTTTTTAATTTCATAGTTGCGGATTAGGAAGAAAATTAGAACTTTGAATATGACTTGTGTATTTGATAAGATTTTGCTTCCTTTTCTGGCTGAGGTAGGCATCCAGTTTTTGCTATGAAGTTTGGAGAAAGTTACAGGTTAGAATATTACATCAATAATGATGAGCTTTAATTTTCACAAGTTTGAATTTGATTTATTTTAAAGAATTCATTTTGTTCTTTGTTAAGTGCAGTCCTTCGTTGTAATTAAACTTAAATATTTTAGCCCTTTTTGACAGCCACTATTGCCTGCCGGTGCAGCTTTTCTTTTTCTTCTTTTGATTAGCGGGTATTTTCTCTATCTTCTCGAGTTAGGGGCAAGGGGCAAGGTTGCGTACACATTATCCTTCCCACATATTGCTTGTAGGTTTACACTGGGTTTGTTGTTGTTGTTGCTGATTAGTAGGTATTTTATTTAATCGTGCTTTTCACTCTTCCGTTGTCTTAGAAAATCGATAATATCTCATAATCCATGCGAATCTAATGAAAAATAGGATATAATGAAAGAAAAAGATCTATATAGTCAATACTAATTAGTTGGGATTAATACATTTAGGGGTAGTTTGGTTATGAGGATGGGATAGACAAGGAGATATATCTCTTGGTTGGGATGTCCCATGGTATAACTATCCCACCTTCTATATTGGATAACTTATCCCGCCATTTTGGTATAAAATAGTTTCCGTGACTAATTAATATCCATAACCGAACATATGGGATAAAATAATCCCGCATTTTATCCGGGATTGTTATTCCTTATTCTACCAACCAAACAACCCTTTAGTTTCTTGATTTGTGGGTGTCATGCATCCTTGTGCATAAACCATGTTAATCTTCTCCGTATCATTCCAATTTTATTGGATGTTCTTGAATCTCGAAAGGACAATATGTTTAGTTTGGGTTCAATATTTTCTTGAGTCTTTAGTCAGATGTATATACCAATAGAAAATATGAGAACTTCTACTACTACTTAACTTCTAATATTGGACTTAGGTTAACTTAAATAAAGCGACATGAATTCATCTAGTCTATCCATTGTTTGGGATTGAGGCATTGTTGTTGTTGTGCTATATGTTTTTCTTTCTTCTCAAACTCCTGCAATTGGTGAAGTTTTGATAAAGAGTGGCTTTATACCACTAGCTTGCATGTTTGTGCTCTTTCTATTCCTTTCTGAGATGTATATATAGAGTTCTTATTTTCAGTTAGTTCAGCCCTAGTTTATTATTAGGTGAGTGGATATGTTTGACACAACTGCAGACTTTAGGTTACTTGAATAGATTTAAGTTATATACGCTTACAGTGTAGAGTTACACTACTGTTAGAGTAGTTTAGTGTATTATAGCATGTTAGCAGTTATCGATCAACTAATGCTATCATATAAAATGATATGTAGTTACATTATAAGTGACCTAATTGTGTAAATATTTTCTGCACCACTACATAGCGGACTTGTATTCCTTCTTGAATATGTTACAAGTATAAAAGGTCTAAAGGAGACTGGTAACTTTTGCATGTGTTATTAAGTACATGTTGCTCCATCACCTTTCCAAAATTGTATAATGAAAGTAATTTTTCACATTTCTTTCAAGTTATTGTGTGGCTTCATCATCTAGTTTGTATGTTGAACAAGTATATATAGATACTCCATGTAGACTTCCAAAAGTATTTAGCAGATTATGGTCTTGCTGAAGTGAGTAATTTATGAGTCTCGTTTTGTCTGAACTTTAACTGACAACCATGTGTCTGAAATTTGGTATTGGGAGTCTATATATGTTGCTCGGACTCTGCAAAAATATTGTTGCCATATGCTCGTCGGATCCTCCAAAAGTAGTGCATTTTTGGAGGATCCGACACGGGTACAACAACAGTTTAAGAGAGTCCACACAACATAGATTGGGACAACATCTCTAGAATTTAGTATCTTCATCTTTGTGTCTCTTTACTGGTATATTTTATTTGTTTGTTTTAGTAGTAATTGACTATTAGCTGTGACTATTGAGAGGGGTAAATGGTGTTACTGTAGCTTGTGATAGTAAAGTCGTTTTTAATTCACTACCAATCTATTGGAGTATTTGTTAGATATACGCATATTTTGAGGACTTGATGCAATTTCTGTAGCATCTTGGTGGAGGAAATAGTGCTTGAACTCTATATTTGGACATGGTATGTTGTAACAACAACAAACCCAGTGTAATCCCACAAGTGGGGTCTGAGGAATGTAGTGTGTACGCAGATCTACCTTTAAGAACACTATATTTGGACGTGGTGTGATGGTACATCTATAAATTCCTAGTTGGGAAGTCGTTTATGCCTAACTCAATTTTCTTTAATTTGACTGAGAATTAACAACTTTGAGAGCTAGCAATGATTTCTTGCAACAAAATTAAGGAATTAAAAACATTTCGAACATGGGAAGCAGTTCCAGTCGAAGTGGAATATTTGTTATACGTGTGAGTGTTAGAGGCCGTGAATTCGAATGTCCTTTAGTACACGATTACTATTGCGATCTTTGCTAGTTGGACTTGGATACGTATTCTCACTAGGTTAGCAAGAATTTTTGTATTGCCAGAAAAAATGTTGAAGTTCATTATAATGATATAATTTTCCTCTATTGTTATTGGTCAGAGACGATTTATATAGCCGACCCTCCAACTTGTTTTGGACTAGAGGCGTTGTTGTTGTTTTAGGTAGTTGTTCTCTCGGCCCTAATGTTATTGGTAACCAAGCAACTCTAGCTAATATCTCTCCGCTCTAGCTAGTCATACTTCCAGAAACGTCTCTTTGATGTACAAGAGTACGATGCTTGATAGCATGATGATTCATTTAGGGGTCGTTTGGTTGGGAAACAAGTTATACCGGGATTGTTATTCCACTCTCCCATTGGGAAAAAATAACACTGCATTCCCGAGATAAATAATCTCGGGATTAGTTATACCATAATTTTATCCCAACCAAACGTGGGATAAACTCGTTTCAAGTTTAATCCCCAGATTAATCCCTTATTCCTCGTACCAAACAAGCCTTTAGTTTCTTAATTTCACTTAGGTGAATCTGATGAGATGATAAATATCTGACCGCTTGTTGTCAAGACCAGTATAACATTGATGTGACTTGCAATTTTTTGTGTAAATTGTTCTGTTAATCTGACAATCAATTAAACTTCACCCCTGGAAAGCTAGTTGGTGCATCTATACAAATCTTGGATATTGTTAAGAAAATAGACCTTGGGTCTAATATTTTAACCCCAAAAGTTAGCTCATGATTTACCCAATTAGATCATATAAGGAGACAACATCGATTCCGTCAACCGATGTGGGATGCTATAAGCCTATAACATCCCTTTGCACGACCAGGCATGGATAATTAGAGCACGGTTATAATATAGGACACAAACATTAGGGTGTCCACGAATCATCCTGGCATTCACGCAAGGTCTGGGAAGGGCCGCACCCTAAGGGTGTGATATATACATCCTACCCTAATGCAAGCATCAATGGCTGATTTCACGGCTCGAAGACAACTGTATCATTGCTTCAAGGTTCCCCTTCGAGCTAAATAAATAATTTCTCTCAGTTCGGGGGGAGGCACGAGGAGGGAGAGTTACTTTTTAGTGAGATTTTGGACCTGAGTGAAGAGGATAGTGTTTTAATTTACTAACTTCAACTGTTGGATTCCAAGATTTTCTTCTCCAGTTGTTTCTATTCTTTTTTTCTTTTTCTTGTTCTAAATTATGCTACTTTTTAATTACTGCTATAGGAAACTGTTGGTTACCCATTTCCTTGGCTGAGCTTGGATTGTTCTTGAAGCTGTAAGTTTGACATAATTCTTGTCTTCTTTAATTGGTTTATATTGAATAGTCTCTTCCTGAATGATTTTTCGTTATTATATTTGTGTGTGTATTATTATCTCCTCCTTATTTTGGGTGAATTCCAAACGAAGTACTCAGGTTCTCTTCTGTTCAATCATCAATGAATGTATTCCTTAACATTTAGGTTTTTGTCTAATGGCGTCACTGAACATGAATCTGAAATGAGGTTGTTTTTTTTCCCTTACCTATTGCAGGAGATGTTAGCTTCAGTTGAGATAAAACTACTCCTGAGTCCGACTGAGTGTAAAGTAATGGTCAATGACCCAAGGTTTTTTTACATGCTGATAATCATTATCCCCTATCTCCGGGTTGACGCCACGGAAGGGGAGCCTTGGCGTAGCTGTTAAAGTTGCTGCCATGTGACTAGGAGGTCACGGGTTCAAGCGGTGGAAACAGCCTCTTGCAGAAATGTAGGGTAAGGCCCCTTCCTTGGCGTAACTGTTAAAGTTGTTGTCATGTGACCAGGAGGTTACGGGTTCAAGCGGTGGAATCAGCCTCTTGCAGAAGTGCAGGGTAAGGCTGCGTACAATAGATCCTTGTGGTCCGACCCTTCCTCGAATCCCGCGCAGTATTCCGAGCTGCCTTTCTCCGGGTTGAGGACATTCATTGGCTGCGGTGGCAGTTACATGAAATAACTAGAATGATAGCAGAATGGCTTAATGAAACCGCTAAGACCTTTACGATTAGTGTCTTATAAGTAGTAAATTTAACTTTCCTCCCTTCGAGTTTTCAACTACTTCCGATTGTGAAAATAAAAAGCAAAAATAGTATTATATTCATCGGATCGATCCTGTTGGTAACTCTAAATTTAATCTTTGTTTGTGTAAATGTGTTAATTCTTGTCTTGTCCCATAAAATATTTGAATGGGGTTTGGTAGATCGCAAATGTCATCAGAGAATTTGAGGATTTATGATTGTTTATGGTTCGATGGTCTATCGGAAATGGCCTCTTTAGACCTTCGGGGTAGAGGTAAGGTATGCGTACACACTACCTTCTCAGATCTCACTCGTGAGATTTTACTGTGTCGTTGTTGTTGTTGTATGGTTCATTCACTTTAGTGTTTATTAATATCTCTGTTTGTTGAAACTTTTATACTGTGAAATAGAATAAATCCTTTGATATATCAGTGGGAGAAATTCAAAAATAGCCAGATTTACCACTGGTCGTTGAAAAATAGCCAAGTTTTAAAAGTCATCGAAATTTAGCCACTTTAAATCTGAGCGAAAACACTGTTCAAAATCCGAAAAAATACGCCCGCAAATTTTACGGGAGTTCCAGCATAAGTATGCTTGAACTCCCGTAAATTTTACGGAATTTTACGGGAGTTCAAGCATAATTATGCTGGAACTCCCGCAAATTTTAATTATGCTGGAACTCCCGCAAATTTTACGGGAGTTCCAGCAAGTATAATTGTCCGGTATAATATACTGGAGTTTGGAGCACTGGTGCTCCAGTCTCCCGCAAATTTTACAGAAGTTAGCAAAGTATACCGGTCTAGCATAATATGCTGGAGTTCGTACACAAATGCCCCAGAACTCCCGTATATTATACTGGACCGGTCCCTGTTGCAGCAAAATAGTGGCTATTTTTCATTGACTTGATAAACGCTGTCTATTTTTCATTGACCAGTGTGAAAACTGGCTATACCATGATATTTTAACTATATCAGTTGTTAAATCTTTGGAATGAAAGATTGAAATGAACTTTTGCTGTCTTGTCCACCTTCATCTTTTTACCTTGTGTGTGGTACCTTCCTATTGGTCAAAGAATAACGTCGATGAAAACATGTAGGTGCACTATTTTGTGGTGGGATTGTAAATCTTTTCATAAATTTTTCATTTGTCACTTAACGACCAAAACCTTGCTTCTTTTATGCGTTCGGGTATACCTTTCTTATATACTACATACGCAATTTTCTATTTACGAATTAACTTAACTTTAAGAAAAGATTTTATAAAAGAATAAAGAGCCTGAATCCCCCATTTTCATCAGACTTCCAATGAAGTAGGAACTCGCTCCTTACCTAGCGGTACTTCCATGGCTTATCTCTCGAGGTCCTGTTTAAAAGGCAGTCGCGAGAACCTATCTGGATTGAGTGGTTCTTTCTCGGGCACGAATTCATTCAAGAGAACTTGGTGGTCTTAAGAATGGTTCGGGTGGAGGATTCTCTTAAGAATAAGAATTAAAATAGAATATAATTCATGTTCATTTTAACAGAAGATCGGATCCAATACGAAGACGCTTGAGAGAAAAGGCTAGCCTTGTATATACGCTATTTCTGTTTATGTCAGAGGTGCCCAATCGACAAACCGAATGACATTTCTCAGGAGAGGCTTGTATTTACCTCATATTTCGGACACTATTGTAAAGATTGCTGAAGGTTAGATCATAATATGGATTTGGAATTTCGTCATAGACCAATAATAAGACATTTCAATTAGTTATTAGAAGATTAGTTAGAGTTTCAAAGTGACTAGCTGTCTAATGGTTCTATGTGAAATAAAAGGTAAGCGGCAATTGACTTATTTTAATTTCTCTGCTTGTGGATGTAAAATTATAAGAGTGTGCCACTTTGGATATCGACCTCAAACCGTGTTGAAAACAAGTTCACGAGCATTTTAGCTTGTTTAGTAGTTATATATAACTAAGAAAGGTTGTGATAGAGTAGTAAGTATTTCTTCATCGTTAATCGGAAGTTTCGAGTTTGAGCTCTGGATATAGAGTCGTCTTTGTTAGAGAGCGCTATACCCCTCCAATGTGAGATCTTCTGGCACGAATTTGAATTTAGTCAGATCCCAATGCAGATAACGAATATCAAATGGAATATATATATATAAATATATAGAGCAAACATTGTGGGGGTCGGGGATTGAAATTATCTATCATTAGAAGTAGAGCGGGTGCCACATCTCACTAATCTATCGATCGCAAAGCTATTGGGGTGTTGAGATGGGGAGGAGACAAGCAACATATATTGTCACCTATGAAACTCGTTTTTCCTACTTCCACTATGTAAAAAATTTGACCAAACACACCGTAGAGCATACACATTTTCAAAAGGGATTTTCATTCCTATATACTATTTGAAATTTTATTACCCTTAATGTCCATGTTTAATTAATTATTACCCGGCATAAACAAGTTTTGTTTACGAAATATATATAATCTACCTTAAAAGGCTCCCAATCCATTATTTGTGCATTCAATCAAGGGATTTAGTTACACCCTTTTCTTTTTTTCCTCTCCTCTCTCCCCTCTTCTCTCCAAATTCTCTCTTTCTCCTCGTATCTTCGGCAAAAGCTATATCTTGCATAGAAGTGAATTTAAACATACAATTTCTTAGTACTGCACTTCACTAATTCAAAGGAATTCCTTTGGTTAATTAATTGGTTACTCGCATACGAACTGATCGCTATATTCCTCGAACACGTGTTTTGGGGTTGGGAATGAAGATTAATAAGAGTTGACGAATCATTTAATCACTCTAATGAAAACACAAGTCACTTTTATGCATTATGACAGTCGACACAATTGAGTGGGTCTTCCTATAATTTTAACCTAATTATTTACTAACCCAGAGACGCACAAAGTCGAGGGTTTATTAGAAATAGTTTCTCTATCTTTCGGTGTAGGGGTAAGATCTGCATACACATTATTCTTCTCAAACCCCACTAATAAGATTTCACTACGTCGTTGTTATTGTTGTTGTTGAGAGACGCACACAACTCACGATTATTGCAATCATGACGATGAGAAGATATTTTTAAACTATTAAATTATAATGTGAGAATTATAAATTAATTAAATTATACTATTTTGTCTTACGTTTAATTGCTCAAATGTGATATTAATTTTTTTTCTTTTCATGCTTAGCATAGTATCCTTGGATATGAAAGAAACACGTGTTTCTATCTTAGTCTTTATAAACACATAAATCAAGGTACATGTACTTTGACTTATTTTCCGACATCAAAAGGGGAATTCACTATGTTGTTCAACTTTCATACAATATGTTTTTCGTATATTTTGTATCTGATTTACACATAATAAAAACAAATTTCATACAACTAATTATATATTATATAATTTATCTACAACTCATCTACAACTTTCACACACTATTTCTACCCAGTTAAATACAACTACAATAAAATAATTTAAATACAAATTTTATACAAAATTTATACAATATGTCTTTTGTATATTTTGTATCTGATTTATACATAGTAAAAACAAAAATCATACAACTAATTATATATTATACAACTTATTTACAATTTTCATACATTATTTCTTCTCAGTTATATACAACTACAATATCATACAACTTAAGTATAATTTTAATACGATGTTGTTCAACTTTCATACAATAGTTAAATAAATAAAAAAAAAATATATAAACAACATAATACAATTTTTCTACAATTTTACTACAATTTCTGCATTATGATGTATGTCATGTCGTCTTCTTCTTCTTCTTCTTCTTCTTCTTCTTCTTCTTCGAGTTTCAATCTGAAGTTCAGCCAAAACCAAGTCTAATCTTCACCAAAACCCCTCAAAATTGAGATATAAACTCCAAACCATATTCCCAATTATTTGCAACAACACCCAATCCAAACAAATAATATTTTTTGATAACCCAAATTCGAATTCAAAGCTTCAAAGCTTTTTAATGGCTGTTAATGGTGGAATTGATGCTCTCTTTTTCTTTGCTTTACATTACTGAAATTTGGGATTGAGATATAGAGAGAGACGTAGAGAGAATTCTCAATTCTTTGCAACAACATCCAATCCAAACAAACAATGTTTTTTGATAATCCAAATTCGAATTCAAAGCTTCAAAGCTTTTTAATGGTTGTCAATATTGAAATTGATGCTCTCTTGTGCAAGATACGTGGGGAGGGGGGGGGGGGGGGGATGTGGAGAGAGAAACGTGGTGGAGTGGAAGATATGTTAGAGTAATTTTAGGACACTAATTATTATCATTAATTCTGTCACGACCCTAAATTTAATTCTGTCACGACCCTAAATCCGAATCCGGGCGGGATGGCGCATCTCGTGAAGACAAGGCCAGCCAACTAAATCCAATTTACCCTTTTTAAGCAGTTAAACAACATAAAACAGTCTAAAACATGATTTAATAGTATTAAGTAGCGGATAACATCAACAAAGTGCGGAAATATAACCCAACACAGCCCTAACCGGGGTGTCACTAGTCATGAGCATCTAAAAGCCATAATAGAATTCTGNGATTATTTTTACCTAGCTATAATATAATACAAATTTATTTACCATCATTATTTAGATTCCTTATTAATTACTTTGTATATCTATATTTACTAGTTATATACAAAATCATAAAAAAGAAGAAATTCAAGATCCCTTAAATCTAGCCTATCAGTTACATGATACTTAACCTCCATTCCCAATAATTCCTCCTACATTTAAGATTCTTTCCTTTTCCAAAAGATTACAAAAACATATTTTCTCTTTCTTAACAATTACCCAAAATTATTCTTACCCGTAGTAAGAAATCTCGCTAACCAAAATCTTGCTTACCCAAAGTTACCCCCCCCCCCCCC